ATGTCAGCCAACGTGACAGGGCTGTTGTCGTTAACAACTGAAGCGACACCTGTTCTATTTATCAGTTTTGAAATGTATCGCCTCATCAGTCGTATATGTTATTACGCACTCTTTCCCTGTATCGGCGTGATTGGGATATTAGGGAATGTAACTAACATTGTCATTCTAGCTCGGCAAGGATTCCGCAAATGTTCTAATATACTTCTCTTTTCTTTATCTGTCTCTGACTGCCTGTTCTTAATTGGTGTCAACAATATTCCAATTCAATTATATTTAGAGTATAGTAAGTTCAGGTTTTCTGAGACTCTTAATTCCATGTGTTTCGTATTATATATGATTTGTTCATGTGCTAACGACTTCGGATTATTCTCATCTGTGATCATTCCTGTTCTAATAACAGATGAACGTATATTGGCCATATTTTATCCGTTCCAAGCGTATGTGATCCTAACTCCCCGGCTAACAGTCATTGTCCTGTCTTGTCTCTATATTGTAGATGGAATATTTTGTCTGTACGCAGTACCACTAAGTTATCAACTGCAGAATGTTCTGATTAATGATGTCGTTGTGGGCGTCATTGGCCCAAGTGATATGCGGAAAATCCACGAAAGAAGCGGAGTGAAGCAGGTTATTGACCAGATAGTGAATTACATGACAGGAGTCATCCCAATCAGTCTGGTCACCTTGGGCTGTATTGTTATTGGACTCAGGATCGTACAAATCACCAACAGACGCCGACAGCTGACCTCCAGTCAAGTCACAGCCAGTTCTAAACATGGCATCACCAAGACAACAAAAACTTTACTGAAGATCTGTTTGCTGTACATTGTCTTTTATGGCTCTACTTTTATTGCTTCATTTGTTTTACAGAGTGAAATATTAGAGGGACAGCTGACTACACAGTCGATAATTCAACGCTTTCACTACTTGGTGCTTATTATAAACTGTGTTGGTAATTTTCTGATTTACTTTGGTGCTCTCCATCAATTCAGGAAGTCAAGCGTCGTCGGTCAGAGACAAGAATAAACAATCACCATAGAAGTGAGAGACAAATGACCGTGGTGTCCTGTCGTGAAATGGATGGCCAACGTATTTTCCACATGTAAATTTTACCTTTATTGTAATCAGATAATTAGGCTTGAATTACATATTCTAAACGGATCACTGAAATAGATATTTTGACATACGAATTTCTGTAACACACGTTGCTACATAACAGTTTATGAAATACATATTTTATACGTAGCGCTGAAATAGATATTGTGACATACGAATTTCTGTAATACATTTTGCTACAGAACAGTTTAGGAAATACATATTTTATACGTAGCGCTGAAATAGATATTGTGACATACGAATTTATGTAATACATTTTGCTACGTAACAATTTATTAAATACATATTCTTCTTCTTCTTTGCGTTCACCAGCTGTACACTCTAGCGTAAAGTTCTGGTTTTTTATCCACTTCTGAACTGCAGTCCTGCTCCAGAACCTTAGTGTTGCATGTGCATCAGTTTTACAGATCTGATTCTATTGAATGCAGACTGCTGGTTCCTTGCCTCTCAGGCAGATGCACTCCTACTTCAAAGGAAGCTCCCCAGTTAGTCGACTCTTACGACATGCTTTTGGGGAGGCAGTGGTTAGATTCTTGTTTTCCCCACAACAGGGCCCCGGAACCCACACGGGGGAAATAAAAATACATATTGTGACACAGGGATTGCTGAAATACATATCATGACATACGAATTTATGTTTATATGGATATAGTTTCGTCGCCCAGCTTCTGAGTTGAATGCATGGCGTGACCCTGTGAGCTGCGGATTGCATTTGGAATGTTTTTTTCGACTGTGACCAACGTGGTGGTGTGAATTGTAGATTCAGAAAATGGCGGGATGCCTGTCGTTCAATGCTGGCGGGACCCGTATTGAAATTGATCACGCGGACAACTGCTGATCTGTTGACAAGTTCTGCTATCATCAATGATGAACTGCATTTCTAATGTTGGACTGTTTGTGTTAGCACTTCGGATGGCTACCATATGCTTTAATGCGAGTGTATTCTAGATATGCTGAGACAGCAGTCTGTCAATCTTTCCACAAGGGACTGTGATAGACATTCTGAGTGTTTTTCGCTGGCACAGGAGCGGAGCAAAGATGGGGCGACCCCTTTGCTATGAAGCTGAAACTAAGACTACCAGACTACCAGACGAATTTATGACATGCCAATATGGCTTGACTGACTTAAATTTGTAATCAGGAAAATACGAATTTTCGAAGTAGATGTTTTGACACCAGGATTGCAGACAGTAGAACAGCACATTGTTTTATGATTGCATCATATTCTTCTTTTTCTTTTCTACTCTGGCAATCAGGAAAGGAACAAATGTCTGGACCCTTCTGTTCGCTTTGTTAAAGTATCAGAGTCCCTTTATGTTTCCGACGTCAATATTCTGCGTTATCGACCTGTGTACCTTTGTTTCACAAAGCCATAGTTAACTCTTTATATCTCACAGTGTTCTTTGCAACAAAACAGCCTACCACCCCCCCCCCCCCCCAATCCCCTACCCTACCCTTTGCAAACATGCTAAAAAACCTAAGGGTTTGCTCGAGACACCACTCCTGTTGTTGCTCACTCACTACGATCAAAACACATAATTTTTTGTCAACTGTCTAGTCTCTTGAATGATATATGTACAAGAACACAACATACAGTCAACATGATCAATTTATTCCATATCTAAGACACATTGACAGTAACACAGCGAGATGTCAATGTCAATGATGGTCTAGCATCGTATGCACAGTTTGATACCAATTTGTTGGTGACTTCCTTGAATAAAGTCACAACACTGTAGAAGCCAAGAAGTAAACACCTCACAGCATGACAAGTCAAGTTAGGGGTAACCGAAAGAAAAAGAAAAAAAACAGCACTTCCACGCAGCAACATGATCAGCACGTGACGCACATGTGTTGTTGTTCGTCCATCTCGAGTCCTAAAAACCACTTTTATCTGAAGTAGTAATGATCTATGATTATGAGTACGAAGGTGGCTGATTAGTCCAATATGAGCCTGGAATGTTCTTGAGCAGTGCGGACAACAGATGGAAGCCACAGTAGGTGTTGGATTAGCACATAATTCTTTGTAGTCTGCCTCCGTTTCTCTGCCTGTGCAACCTCCCTTGCCTGGCAGGCCGATTCACCATGTCTGAGACACCTACGCCATCCAGAACGGTCTTGAGCTGCAGTCTCCCACGTCCCTGTGTTGATGCCAAAAAAACTGAGAGCCGTCTTCAGAGTGTCCTTATAGCGCTTTTTCTGTCCTCACTGACACCTCTTTCCTTGCTGGAGCTCGCCATAAAATACTCTCTTTGGGAGGCGATAGTCTGAAACACATGTATAGGTCAGGTAAACAGCGTAGACTCCCACACAGCTGGTGAAGTCCCGGTGAGCACAGAAGGAAGCACATGACAAACTCAGGTTGCCAGTCTTGACAACCACACAGTGACCTATGACCCGATCAGCACATCAACTTGGTTAGGTTTACTAGTTCTAGTAGCCAAGTCAGGCCCAGTTACACACTAGCTGAACTTTTTTTTTTAAATTCCTGCTTGCTCAAGCTGGTCTACGTTAGCTGGGTGTCTGGGTGTACTGTTGTCTTCGCAAAGCATTCTGCGCTGCGTGTTAATCGTTGTTGTGTGAGCAGCGGTCGCCTACATTGCGTTTACACTCGTAAGCTTTGGCGGGTGGTACGCTGCATTCTCTCATCGAACATAGGCTGAGTCTTTGGGGTAGAAATTTTGTGTTTTTGCCAGTTATAGACATCGCGTGGGTCACCGGTGATAGGACCGCACACGACACCCCTGTCACCTAGACCAGTCGGGAGAAGCATTAATGAAAGATCATCTAGTGTGTAGATAAACAGGTTTACTAACCGGTCCTGTCAGTATCGATCCTTTTGTCCTCCCTACTTGCTGTCAGTCTTATCCAGTTGTGAGTCCAACAAGTAATAATTATGTTAGATGCATGATGTGGAATAGGATGGTTATACGTATGAATCCCTGGGGTATATGGATGTACACCGTTAACTGATGACATGTAGCTGTTTTATTCTCCATTTTATGACGTTATCCCTGCAGACTTAACTCCTGGAGGGAGTGAAAAAAATTGAATCTTCCTGATGTCTGCCATTCTCTCAATATGTCTTAACAATTCATCATCGTCATCAATTTGCAAGTCTTTTATAGAACGTCGCTCTCTTTACGACACGCCTGAAAGTATCCCTTTCCCTAGCCAGCTCTCCAGCCCCATGTTCTTTCAATGCCAATGCATCTTCAGTATCCTGTATCCATCATCGCTCTCCACAAACTGCACCACCCAAAGCTATCTTTTCCAAGCCACCATGACATTTAAAGTGGCGAAAATATTTCAGCTTTCGGGACAGGATGCTGACTGTGAGCCAATTCTTTTTGATGTAGAGTTTGGATGTTTGTCTTCATCCTAGTCCATAGTATTCTGAGAATTCTTCTGAACATTTTATTGAATGAAAAGCTCCATTCCTTTTCTTTATTGACTGAGTGAGAGTCCACGACTGACAACCGTAAGCTGCCACAGCAAAATTCATGATCTCAAGATTTTTGTTTAACTAGTTTACAGGTGCTTTGCCATGAGTTCTTCGTGCTGTTTGATCTCTGCATTGCTAATGCAAGTCTTCTTTTGAATTCTTTCGAGCTGTCGCCACTGTTGTTCACTAAGGAACCCTTGTATTCGAAGTCTGACATTTTCTATTTCTTCATTCTCGACAAGTCCCAACCAATGAAGTCTGTTAACCTTTATGATGCAATAATTAGTGATGATTTAAACAGACTAAATACTAGGTTATGAATACTTTTGTTGCTTCTCACTTTCCGCTGTTTGCATATTTGGAGACCTAAGACCTCCAGACAGGCATTCCAGCGGCTGGCCATCGAGAAACCTCAGCTCCCACTGTGTTTGAGGTCAATCATCTCATATTCATAGAACACATTTAGTATCGTGCCACAGTCAGCCCGATTTGTGTCTCCTAGAGCTCTTCAAGGATTCACTGCTATGTGTACGACCATTCTGACTCCAAGACATGCTAGTCGTATATTAAACAAAACTTACATTGTATGAATGTTAATCAAATTGACATTTGATTCCTAAAATCTTCGTTTATCTAGAAAACTGCAGTTTGCGGTAGAAACAGTCGGTGAGTGGTGATAGGAAACAGGCTCTGTTATCAACCCAGATAAGGCGTCGGCATTGTCTTTCTTCTGCCTTTCTATCCCCCAATGAGGCATAGGCCCTTAACCAACTCACGCCAAGTCGTTCTATCCTTCGCCATTACACGAAGCTCTCTCCATGTCCTCCCCATCTTTCTAACTTCATTCTCCAGCTCTCTTCCCTATGCGTTTTTTGGCCTTCCTTTATTCCTATGCCCCTGTGGGTTTCAATGCACAGACATTCTGGTTATGCTAATCTCCTGTTTTCCAAGTGTGTGTCTTATCCAACGCCCGCGTCTTTTCCTCACCTCTTGGTCTACTGGAGCCTGTTGAGTTGTCTCCAAAAGCTCTACATTAGTTATTCTATCATACCATTTTATTACCTCTATTTTGCGCAGGCACCAGTTAATGAATGTCTGTAATTTATTAGTAATTGCCATAGTTGGTCTCCATGTTTCCGCCCTATACAAAAATACTAATTTGAAATTGGAATTACAAATTCTTGGTTTAGTATTTTTTTTTTAATTTCTGTTGACCTCCACAAATTCCCTAGTGCTATTAAAGCTCCGCTTGTTTTTTGTATTCTTATTTTAATATCTCTATCAGTTCCTCCGTCTTAAACTACATTACTGCCCAGATAGGTGTACAACTTCATGTCTTGGAGTGGGGTGCCATTAAGAGAAATCACATTACTGTTTGCCTGATTTATTCTCATTATCTCTGTATTTCCTTTATGGATTTTCAGACCAAGCTGCTGTATCAAGTATATTAAATTTATCTTACATC